ATCAACAGATCATAATTGTTTTTAGCAACTGAAATCGTGACATCAGTCATTAGCGATTGGGTTGAAAGTTGGACATACCTCTTAGCACGAGCTCGACAAATCGATGAGAAAGCGCAGGTTGCTCATCTTTGAACCGGTTCCAATTTTCTTTGGATAGCTTCCAAAGGACACTATCCTTCTCGGAGACTACCTTGGCATTGCGAGTCATGTTTGCTAGTCCAGATAATTCTCCGGAAAGGGTACCAGAGACCATGGATTCGGTAATGACGTCGGAATTATCCCAGTCATAGATCGCCCTTAGGACTCCTGACTCCACTACGTAAATTCCGTCCGGATCGTCACCACGTTCCCAAAGGGTCGTGCCATCCGGAATCTCAACTCGTGTAAAATAACGGAGCATGGGAACAAAGAACATCGGTGAGAGGTCTGCCTCGTAACCAGAAAATGTTTTGAAAAGCGTTGGTGCTGGCTCAGGGACTTCACTTTCTGGATCTTCGTCTTGCTCTCTTGTGATAGCACGCATGACCCGACCCGCAACATTGTGGATATGAGATCTTCTAGGAGATTGCTGCCAAGATTCACTCATGGAGAATGCGAGTTTGGCCCGGCCGGGAAGTGCTTAGGGAAATTTTAGCAGGTTTCCCTTCTTGAAAGAAAATTCACTCACTGATGGGCCTTACTTCTGGTACCTTGGTCTCTTCTTTAATGGAGTCAAACCAGGCTTTTAGGTAGACATTTTCTGTCCATTCTATGGCGTCATTGATGTCTGCGAAAACTTCGACGTTGTCTGCTTCGAAGAGTTCAACACTTTTGAGTGCACGTCCGATATGAGAATCCATTTGGAAGCCACATAGGACTAGAATCACATTTTTGGCAGCGAGAAGGCGTTGTAAACGGACAAAAGCCTCAGACGCCGAAAGATCCACTCCAAGGACGAGTGAGAAATCGACTACAAGGAACCGGATAGGGTTATGGTTCCATTTGGCTGTATCTAGTAATTCGCGGGCGGTTTCCTCTACATAATTTATCGTTCCAAAGAAAAGGTATGCTGTAGCAAGAATGAGGCCTATTTGCTATTACAGTGGAAGTAGATACCTTACATTGTAATTTCATGATCGCAGTTTGGCGTCCCACTTCTTGTAGGTACGTTCTATGTGCGGAAGGTCGTCGAACAGTGGACATCGCAGAGTCGCCTGTATACAGAGCGCGTATACTCCGATTCTGCGAGTTTTGTACTACAAAGAAGAAACCTGAATAAGGGAAAAAGGCTCGGTTAATACTTGGTCAAGAGATGAAAAGAATTCCACTCGCAAGCTAATACAATTCCGAAAAGTACACCAATAACGAAATCAAAGATAGTCATGCATACGATAATGCTGAAAATGGTGACATATTCTGTTTTGCTCACGCGATGGCGTGTATCCCAGAGAGCTTCGCGAACGAGATCGATACCGAGAACGAAAATGAGAGCGCCGACAACCATCACAGGCAAGTACCCGATTGGGGCAGTCCCGGCCATCATGATTATGGCAGTAGCACAAGCAAGTAAAAATCCAGCAAGGCGGGTGCCCCCACCCACACGATAGAATAAAACTGTGTTTACGTAGACCAAATAATTAGGGACGGTTCCTAGAGAAACAGGGTCAGCACTAAATAGAGTAAATTCCTATAAGACTTACCGAGAAATCCTGCTAAAAGGTTGGAATATCCATGTGCCACGAGCTCGCGGTTTGTCTCCACTTCTTGGTCGAGTGAGACAGCTACGTTTGTGTGAGAAGAGATGAAGTTTTACCGAAGAAAGGATCACGTACCAAGTGCAGGGACATTCAAAGGAGGGTGCACTATAAATCGATGACGGTCAGTGACACTGCAAGCTAGTGATAGCTGACTCACATATATTGAAAAAGAGAAGTGCGAACTGTGTGGGCATGATTTGCAATAAAGCTAGATAGTTGACCTTCCTCAAATCTATACATAGTAAGAATTATAATCTAAAGGTAAATGTGGCACGTACTCCAATAAGTGTAGATTTTCCACCAAGGTTGATGTGTTGTACCGACATCAAATAGCCATCCTGTTCTTCGAAGGTCTTGAATATCAAAGTGGCCAATTGCCACAACGATGTAGAACACAATAGGTATGAAGAGGAAATCTATCGTCCGAATATATCGTCGTGAGGCGAAGGATCCTTTACATAAGGAAAGACGTACAAAGAGGAAATGTCAACTGATGGTGAATTTTTGCTGTGATGATTCGAAGGATGACAGCAAGAGCTAGTGCAGACATCCACAAAGCCATGGTGCGGCCTGTGCTGAATAGGAACTCCAGAGTTTCGAGGGTGTACTGGAAGCCGCCTTCTTCGTTCATCCCAGTCGACACTTCGAAGCTGGGTATCATTCAGTCAATGTATCAAGGTAATGAGCAGTAATACTGACCCAGTTTCAATTAAGAACCACCCCTTCAATCGAGTCATAAGTTAGTTCATTTCTTATAGCGCACAGCAAGACTTTACATACCACACCTCCTATACATCCAACAAGGATGTGTCTTGGAAAGAAGCCTATCAAGCCCCCCAAGTGAAAATACCCCAGTGTAAAGAAGGTGAGTCCAGTGAGGATGGCTGAGAATGAGAATGCGGCTAATGTCGTCGCAATCACAGAGTCTGGGTTATCTTCCCCTACTATCTCGACGATCTGGGTGGCCATGATATTGAAGAAGGGCTAGTGTTCCATTAGATGAGATCATGGGCCGTGTGACCGGATATTGAGTACACATACCACCACCTCGATCATCATACTACCATTTCCGCCTAAGAAGCTACTTCCACCGAAGGTGTAGACCAGTTGCGCGGTAATTGTTCTAATACACGTCAGTTTATACGTCAGGAACCTGATGGGAAGCAACCTACGTCACAAAGAACAAGGATACGCCCATGGGACCAAACCCGTCAAATATTTTGCCGGCGGGGAACATGATCATTCCGTATGAAACGCCATCGAGTACGTTGAGCAACACGCCGAGGAAGACGGCAGGTAACGATGTGAACACCCGGGAGACCAGGCTTTTCCAGAATGATGGCTGTGTCGCTGACTTTGCTTGGTCTATGCTACTCGAAAGGGCAAGTCGAAACCTCTTGCTCAGGGACTTGGTTCGCCGGGGCTCTGGTCTTGCTATTGGTTCAGAGCCAGGGCTGCCGGCTGTGTAAGTGGGCAAGCTGACATTGGTCAAGAGTGGGGTCGTGTCCGTAGGTAGTATCTCAGGCATAGGAAGCCTCCCCAAGTGCTGAGAAAATTTGCGTTGGTCAAACTCCATTCGACTGTGAGGAGGGGTGGGGGTGTCCGA